CAGTTGAAAGCCTGGATTGCAGAGCTAGAATACAGGGTGTCTGACTCTAGTCCACTTCCTGTGCAGCACTGGTAGCAAGCATTAGCCCCACAACCACTAGCTCCGCCAGCCCTTTAGCATTCACAGTGTTTTGCTGGCACTTCTGTCATAGTGTTCCTTTACTCTCAATGACACGGAGCCTCCCTCAGAGCTCCGAGGCCTTCAGACCACCTTGGGTCAGGAAAGGAAAGTTGCGATGATGCTGAGCCTGTCACTCATGCACCCCCCAAGCTCCCCAATGCTTCCCCCATCCCTAGTGTCTTAAGATTCCTTCAGTCATTAACCTCCTCTTCTGCATCGGCTGCCTTCGCACCTTGGATGTGGTTCACTGTCTGCTCTTTTCAATCTCTTCTGCTGGAAATCCTCTGAGTGCAAAAGTCGTTGCTTATGGCACCTAGCATGAAATTTGTGCAYAATTGTACCCAATAAAAGTTAGTGGGGAAAATGTGAAATGAAGTGTGGGAAAGTGCATTCTCCAGGGTGAAGCACACAGGTCTTTCCTGCTCCAAGAAGGAAGCAAAGTTTACAAAATCATTTCAACATGAATCCATCGTATTTCAATTCATGGTCAGTGCAGTTCTTCCTAGGTAAAGCAGGTCACAGGCTCATTTTTTAATGTAGCAGGGCACAGATGTTACCAGTATTCTGAATCCTAAGGAGGGGCAATCCCACTTAAGGGAATATATAGACATACATGATTTTAAAAATAAACCTTCCACTTTTGCTCAGCCCTCCCTTCTCATGCCAGTACTCTCCCACCCAGCAACTTGACATAGTACCAAGCAATCTGTGCACTTTGAAATCACTTAAAAGGAAGCAGGACTTCTATATTTATTTGGGAATCTACAGACTATAAAAAGCCCTTTATTTTGACGGCTAGAAAGGCACTGGCCATATTTATAATGCACAATTGCTATTTTTTTTTTACAGGTACTCTTTTCCCCATTTAAAGTAACATCCTTGAGAATCCCCATGTCTTCTTTTTGTGTCATCCAGAGAACCAAGCAGAATGAGCATGAAGTCAATAGAAGGGGGAAATTGCATTCATATATTTCAAATGTCATTGTGATATATCTTTTCAATATGTATAATGATGTATAAGATACACATGGAATCTAGTTACATTCAAGTATCCATTCTATTGTGGGGACAATTTAATTATTAAAACATATAAATATGTATTTAGTAATTCTTTCTTTGGCTGTCATGTACTTTGGTAGTTTCTCTTAGACTTTATTTTAGTCTTTGAGCATGATATGAATTTTATATATGTATCTATATATTTTTCTTTCTTCCATTGCAAACTTATTAAAAAGCACAACGTAATCAGGGCTAAAGTAATAGAAATTTTTCTCCACTGAATTGCAAAGTATGTAATGGGAACCCACAACCAAAATGCACCTTATCTGCTATTATGTGCATGGTTAATGGTGCTTAAACAGAACATGAAATGGGCAGTGGCCGAGCAGGCTATCTGCAGGTGGGCAGTTGTTATCAGGTATTACTGGATTGAAAATGTTATATTGTGGATATACAAATATGCCCATATGCACTGGTTTGTTTTTCTGGATAAGCAACCAAAAAATAATAAATAGCTGTTACTTGTAAGGGGAAGATATTCTGTTTAAAGATCATATGTGAAGGTCACTTATTTTTAATTGTTAAAAATGTCAGCAAAATTTATCTTGGTGCAATTGATACCTCTTTTGCCTTTATATAGCTCTATATCAAAAAAGAAACTAGAGCCAAGTTATTTTTAAAATAACTATGTTATGGCCTATTTTGGACATTGATCAATAGATAAATATATGAATACAGAACATCTACTTTGATTTCCTATACCCCCTATAGTTCTGTAAGTTTTAGATGAATATTTTGACACACTTTCTGTCCTTTCTAGTTTGGCATTGCTATTATTTCCACTCAGTTGCAAACCATTCTGTGATGTGAGGAAGAGACTCCATATTTAGACATTCTGTGCAGGTGGCCATGTGCTCTGTGCTTTGCCAGGTGGATGCAAAGGAGACACCACGCCATGCTCCAAGACTCTGGTGTGAATGAGCAGGTCCTGCTGGAATGATGGGGAAACAAGAATTCCTTCAATAGGTTTTTGTCACCCAGTGATCTTATAGTTTGTGTGGTAAAAGTGTGCCAAAGCTTGCAATCATCTTTGTGGTCAACTACCACTTGATGGATACCTGAAGGAAAGCATAGGCAGGAACACCACCAGGTCAGGGGATCTCTTTGCAACTCACACCAGCAGGGCAACTTCAACTTTCCCAGTCGAGTTTCCTTCTCACCCACAATAATGTAGAAAGCAAAGACAGGGAGATGCTTAAATAGAGGAAAAGCTCTTGTTGACATGCTATGAAGACTCTAATGAGGAATTAATCTTGAGAAACACCTGTCTACTGGGCACCATATCTATGCTCCCTGCACTGAGAAAATACTCAGAATTTTCTTTTGGATTCAATCCCAAGAATGTAACATGTCACATCATATCCTTTCTCAGGATGAAGGTCCATGCGTGGTAATAATTCAGGATAAAGCCACTGAAGGAGGGAGAGAAGGTTGGGTGGTGTGCTGTTTTGGTAACATCCTAATTCTCTGAAAAAGATAGTAAKATATTTGACACAATTATGGCAATATATTAATATTATTAATCTCTCTCAACTTAAATTTGGTAACAGTGCTTCAGATATCTTAAATCTGGAAAACTCTTCCTTTGTTAAAAGGAAGGTAAGTAAGTGGTCCTGTCTTACTACCCAAAAAATGGAGCTTTGAGATAAAAAGAGAGGTATTACCTAGCTTCAGTGCTCTCTTTGCTTCACAGTAGGGCTTGTGTCAACCTCCTAGAGAAACACTAGGCACTAAATTAAAGAATTCATGCAAACTGCACAGAACAATATGTCGTCAAAAATGGTATTTCTTGCAAAGAACAACAACAATAATAATAGTAGCCTCTTTATGGTATTATCTGAGATTTGACAGAGATTGGAAAAATAGAATTATGAAAAGAACTACAGACAATTCAAATTAATTTGTGTTATCAGATTCCTCTTAGTGTATCCATATTTATAATTATTTTATCACGTGCCCCAGATTTTTCCGTTCACAAAACTTTCTCCAGAATGTAACCCTCATGTGAGAGAATTAAAAATGAAGGAAGAGATTTCAGATCTAGAAAGTAGATATAAAAATAAAATAAAGAGAACATTTATTAAAGTATATGAAAATGAATGCATTCCATAAAGAACGTACCCATACAAATGAGAATTCCAGTTTTACTGACATCATCCGTGTTGGCACTAAAGTCAGCCTCTGGAGCAGCGTAAACTCACTCAGACTTACTCTTTGTTTCCCCAACAGATCTCTTCCTCCTTTGCCCTTGTGATCCTCTGTATTGCAGCTGTCTGGCTCTATGTCCTCAGCTCTGTGTGGCAAGGACCCAGGCATTCCAGGCGCCCTGCTGAATCCTAACCTTTCAGTTTTCTGTCTTTTGTGACTTCTCAAGCATGTGACTCATCTGGCTTCCACATTCTGGAAACGGAAGCTCTTCCTCTTTCTCTGAGCTATTCTGCTCTACACCCAGATAATTATAATTCCTCTGTTCTACTATTCTCTGAGGCCCCTTCTTATGGAATTCCATATCAGCTCCTGAGACTGTGATCCATTTGCATATCCAACATAGAAAAGCCCTTATAGGGATTACACAAATACAGACTGTTTCTGGAGCACATGGGATACAAAACGGTTCAATACAGGAAGGATCCCAGAAAGGTGAGATTTCACTCCATGTAATGTAACATGAAATGATACACATAGCTGGCTTTTATTTGGTATTTAAATCTGACCTTAGAGGAAATACTGTATATTCACTACAATGTTTGTGTCTGATATTTGAAGTTATGAATATGGATCATTATGATCTTACCATCACTAGAGGCCTAGGAACCTACATACCATTTATAACTCTAGAACTAACTCAAGTTTATTCCATATGAACATAAACTTATTTACAAATTAACCTTTACTATATAATGAATTTGTACATTGGGAACTGATTCTACCTGACTCCTTTGCTCTGATCCAGGAGTCGAAAGGGGCACTATTGTCTCCCCAAGGCCAGTCACTGCACACTGTCCTGCAGGTGCCATAGGAGCTGAGCCATTCTCTTTACAGACAGGGGGGTCTCCCTATGTGTTTCCATCAGTATTTTCCATACTCATCATTATCCACATTGATCACTTCACCCTTCCTGGGGCCTATGTTGGGGTGTGTGTCCAAACTCTAGCTGAACTTAGTCATCCTGCTTTGCTTTTCTATTTTTCAAGGAGGAGGAGCAATGATATGGGATAACTAAGAAAAAATACACTTAGAAATTCTATGGTAGAGAGAGATACTTGGGCCAGAGAATAACAACCCCATATTAAGTACATGCTCTTCATGACTCTTCTTTATAGAATTGTTATTGACATTTGCTCATCAATACCTTCAAGGCCAAAGATATTGATGTGAAGGATGTAAGAGAAAGGGTTTCTAAATGTTTGCATGAACCCAACACAGGTTAGCAAGAGAATAAAATCAGACTGGAGTACAAAGCACCAAGAAAAAATTAAAAGAATGTTCTTTGGAGGAGTTTCTTCCCATATGTCCCTCAAGAACTTACAGCAGATGACCCAGTTGGGCTTTCTGGGTGCTGGCCAATTCTCTCAGCTTCTCTTTCTAATTTAGGTAAGACTAATCGATCCTAAGATGGCAGTGTTCAGTCTAAATCCTCACTAAACACATAGAACACTGAGAGGTTGAGGTCAGGGTCTATACATATATAGTCTATACTGTCCCTTGCCATGACACATTTGGAAAATATTTCTGAGACTGTCCTACAAACAAGTAGCAAAAAAGATTATTTAGCTCTCTGCACTTCTCCCTGGTGAGCTGTGAGACGTCTGCTCCTTGACTTCCCTCACAGAATGGCCCCTAAACGCCAATCTTCACTCCAGTCTCAAACAAAAAAACCCAAACTGCCTACCACCCCTGAGAAGGCGAATTCATCGGCCTCTCTGGGTTTGCCGAAGGGAGAAAAAGAACAGCAAGAAGCAATTGAACATATCAATGAAGTACAAAATGAAATAGACAGACTTAATGAACAAGCCAGTGAGGAGATATTGAGAGTAGAACAGAAATATAACAAACTCCTCCAACCATTTTTTCAGAAGAGGTCAGAATTGATCGCCAAAATCCCAAATTTTGGGGTAACAACATTTGTCAACCACCCACAAGTGTCCGCACTGCTTGGGGAGGAAGATGAAGAGGCGCTGCACTATTTGACCAGAGTTGAAGTGACAGAATTTGAAGATATCAAATCAGGTTACAGAATAGATTTTTATTTTGATGAAAATCCTTACTTTGAAAATAAAGTTCTCTCCAAAGAATTTCAYCTGAATGAGAGTGGTGATCCATCTTCAAAGTCCACTGAAATCAAATGGAAATCTGGAAAGGATTTGACGAAACGTTCAAGTCAAACGCAGAATAAAGCCAGCAGGAAGAGGC